ACTAATTATTCTCAAATTTGGACTTTGAAATGTATATTTCCCCAAATATAAAGCAATAAAATAAAATAAAGGCTTTTCACACTATGTCAAGTGTTTTCTTCACAAAAACAAAATGTAAAAGGTAAATATAAACAACTTCAGCACTCCTCAGGTAAGTAAGACCATAGTAATAATTGAAACACTTCAATTAGAAAAAAAAACGGCTAGAAAATTGAACCCAGAAAACAATTTCTTGTCAGATACCAAAGTGATTCGGCAAAATGATTCACTAGTCCATCAAACAAATATGATTGATCACCTGTTTGGTTGCGAAATGTTCAAGTTCAGTTCAATAAACTCAAATGTTTATAATGCACCCGTTGCAGTGTTTTGTTTTAACACTGATTAGCAGCTCAGTTCCAGAAAAACAGAACTAAATATGACTCTGGCTTCCAGTCGTTCCTGTGTCCGATAGACGATGGAAAATATAAACTCAAATTTCCTACCAATCAGATGAATTGGGCAACACAAAATATTGGTTCCATAAAACCGGGCGGCTCGCCAGTTTCCACCAACAGCGAATGTCCTCCAAGATGGCAGAAACAAGAATACTTTGGACTTCTAGAACTCCACACTCCAAATGTCAGGTGTCAGGATCACGAACAGAGAAGATGGAAAAACAAAAACAGAGGAAAAGAACACACAAAAAAAAACCCAACCAAGAAATATAGTAGTTATAGTTGAAGAAAAAATCACTTATGAACCAAAAAAAAATACAGCCTAATCAGATCTGTGCTTTAGACGATTCCTGTCCTTGGTCCAAACGCGATTGGGGGTTTGAGTACGGACAGTAGTATAATACAGCAACTAAATCAAGTTTCAACTGCTTGTTTTACTTCTAATTTCTCAAATTTTACAGCTATACACGACGCGGGCCGCGAGCTCGCTTCAGCTGTTCACGTTTCTCTCGTTTCACTCCTCTCTCACGCTGTGATTCTGCCTCTCCCTCAACTCAACGCGCGCAGATGACGTCATTCCGGGAGGCGGAGCTAGTATTTTTTTCACTCGCAGTTAAATAGATGCATTTAATTCTATCTGTATTCTACGATTATATAATGTTTCTTTTTTTCTTTTTGATAACATTGTGACTATTACAAAATACAAATAAAATTATTTTACATGTACTCCAGTTATTGTTCTTATTTATTTATTTGGTTAAAGGGCTTGATAAGGACTACAGTAACCTGGGTTACACTTGCGCCACATTGGGCCGGGTGTATGATAGGGCCCTATATGTTTAAATATCTATGTCAAATGGTACTGCTTATATTATTTCACCATCGGTACACCAATATAGTAAATGTGCGTGTATGTGGATAGGGCTGTGTCGGTGTGGTAATGTGGGCTGGTGTGGCTACAGTGCCAGGGCTGAATTTTTGTCCCATTCCGCCCCTGATAGGACAGTATTTATGCAATGGTTGGAGCAACTGGACATATGCATTTTAGCACATATTAAGCATAAGGATCTCAATTCGTGAGGCAGTTCGTGTCTGAGTTGAGCAATGATTTGAAATATGCAATTTATTTGTTGTTAAACATATTCAATATTGCTCCATTCCTATAGCAAGGATTCGTTCTTGTGTGGTATATCTGTCTGGAATCATTGCAAAAATGGCCACTGTATACGTAGATTTTCTATGAAAGGATTCTTTATGTATATTGAGGATGAGAGCAAGCGCCTCTGCCTGTCCATCACTTTAATTTAGCTTCATCTTGACAGATAAATTTGCACCAGAAATCATAATGTGTGATCAGACTGTCAGCCTTTGACGTCAGCCACAAAAGTTTCCCCCCAAATCAGCTTCAGAAATATGGAAAATGTCTGCAGATTCCATGTGAGGCTGGATATAGCTTGCTATTTTTTATGGTGGGTGTTTTTTGGTTTCCGAGAAAAAAAAAAAATCATTTCCTCTTGAGGGTTGTAATGCTCTCAACCCCTCTGTCTATAAAGGCTGGACACATTTGATTTGTGTTTCCTTTCCTTCTATTTCTTTTTGCCGCACACACAGAGCTCACTCTATCTAATCATCCCAATGCAAACTTTACAGTTGCACCACACCATGTTTCCGATTCCGACTTGGCTGCCCCCTCTCAAAGAATCAGTTGTGCACCACAGGGCTTCCCTTCACCACACGTTCGGGACCTTCTAGAATATCGGCGTGACCTGTGCAGTGAATGGGGTTTAAAAGCGTCCACAGTAGCTCCTCCTACGTGGTGCTCGACCCCTCCTGAAGGCCTCAGCCGCCTCTACCGGTCTGTGGGGAACAACACACCCTATTGTGCTCCCATCACAAAGAGAAAAGACACTAAATTGAGGAATAAATGAAACTGGATTAGACCGAAGCGGCTGATATTGAGCAGAACAGGTGTTTGGATCACACACACTGAGCACCTGAACTGCTGCGGCTCTTTGAAACGTGTATCCACTTTCTCTCCCTGCAGCGATTCCCCTTGTCTTCTGTTGTATACTGCCTTTCAGTCCCATTCTTACGCGCACTTTATGTCTTGCTCCAAATTCCTCTGTTTGATTTAGTGCAGGGCAGCCACACTGCGAGATCAACAGCCGTTTATAAAGTCATTATTGTCAATTAAGGAAATGAAGTGCTCCCCAGGGCCTCACCATCTGGACTGAGTACTCTGTTTCTCACTCTCCCATTCCTCTGTTTATTTCACTTGTTCTCTCTGTTTCACTTTGTTCATCACCTTCTCCATTTTTCATATAATAGCCACAGGCCACTTTATTAGGCACATTTTGCTAATGGAACCTCTTTTATTGCACTCAGAACAGCCTTAATTATTTTGTAATTATGCTTTAGCAGGCAGCTAGCTCTCTGCAACTTTCTCATGGTCACCCACTGAAGCTAAGCAGGGTGAGAAAGCTAGGTTGCTGCTGGAAAGCTACATGGGAAAGCTAGGTTGCTGCCGGAAGTGGTCTTAGTAAGGCCAGCAGGAGGCGCTCAACCTGTGGTCTGTGTGGGCCCTAATGCCCTAGTATAGTGACGGGGACTCTATACTGCTCAGTGAGCGCCGTCTTTCAGATGAGACGTTAAACCGAGGTCCCGACTCTCTGTGGTCGTTAAAAATCCAAGGATGACCTTCGAAAAAGAGTAGGGGTTTAACCCCGGCATCCTGGCCAAATCTGCCCACTGGCCTGTCCAGCATGGCCTCCTAACTCTCCCTATATCATGATTGGCATATCATCACTCTGTCTCCTCTCCACCAATCAGCTGTTGTGTGAAGTGCGGTCTGGTGCAAAATGGCTGCAGTTACGTCATCCAGGTGGATGCTGCACACTGGTGGTGGATGAGGAGATTCCCCCCCCCCACAAGTTGAGTGCCCAGAAAAGCGCAATATAAATGTAAGGAATTATTATTGTAAACGTTCCTCAGAAATATTTTTTGGCATGCTCAATTGTTCTTTTGCAGTGTGATTGACCAGTAATCTGGTCAGTCATAACCAAGGGCATCGCTAGACCCAATTCACTGGGGCATGTGCCTTCAGCACCTGCTCACATCATCATATGTCGACGTGATCATATGCCGACGCGATCTCTTGCTTCATATGAGAACAGACGAAAGTGCCTGGTGTAGTTATTGCAGATGTGCTATTTTTTGGTATTTATCTTCAGGAAATCACTGACGGCATATATTATGTTATCATAACGATCTAATTGTGGCAATAAGATCGTAACTGTACTGTACATTTACACAGTAGCCATATTCATTTATGTTAACACACGAAAACAGCATTAACATTATAGCAGACAGTGTAAAAAGCTCATTACCTGCCACTAGACTTTTCTGACAGGGGATTCGATTGTCATCGAGTGTAGGAATGCTGTGGGACTGCAATACAGGAGTTATGATTAGGGATTCTTGATCGCAAAATTTAAATTTTTTTTTTTTTGCATTTTTTTAAAAACACAACGGTAAAACATGAACGCGGTTATGAATATAATAAAACATGTGCTTGTTTGTCATAAAAATTCACAATAATGAGAAAAAAATGCTCATTTGTGGATCACCTTACTTCCGGGTTCAGCAATACTGCTGTTGTGGCAGGTGTATCCTGGAATATTTTCTTACCCCTTGGTTTCGAGTGAGGTCCTGAAAAATCTTCATTCGAAGGGGTATTCACCCCTTCCCCTTAGCCCTACGCCTTAAAGCTAAAGAGAATAGGGACACCTCTACCCCTTAGTTTGAACGCGCAAAGTGAGGGGTAGGGGTAAGGGGAAGGGCTAAGGGGTAGAGATCTGCACGGGACTAAATTTTTAATCCCGCTCCTGCCAGGTTTTAGCCCGAACCCGACCACTCCCACTTATATTCAGCATTTGTTGCCCTGCTGCCCGACCCACCCCATTTTCTACCTGCTGCGGCCGATCCCGCTAAAGAGCGGGGGGAGAACAAAACTGAAAACCACCCAGCTATACAGCTCATAACAAGCTGTCTGTATAAACACACACACACACACAAGTACCAAGCACACACACACAAGCACCAAGCACACACACACAAAGACAAAGCTCTCTCTCTCATTCGCGCGCGTGTGCACACACTCACACACATATACACACACACACACACACAGCAACAAACAAGCTAAACACAGCATTGCGCTGTTTCATTTGCACACATACATAAGTGCTCGCTCGCTCGGGAGTAGGGAGCAATATTGCTAGAATATTCGCAGGTCGCAGAAATCTGGTCGGGTCCCGTGGAAGACCTCTACTAAGGGGTAGAATTGGGATTGGGCCTAAATAGTGAGTAAATTTTCATTTTTGGGTGAACTATCTCTTTATTTTTCATATAAAATATCATAGAATGTAAAATATGCACAAAAAGTCATTTGACAGGTTATCTCTATCTTTCCTTCATGCTGTAATGACTTGATTTGTGTGATATGTTTGATGTGTTACGCTGGTCTTTTCTTCATCATCATCTCGCTCTCTGTCTGTCGATCAGGGATTCAGATTTGTTCCTGCTGGACTCGCGGGTGATCTGGGCAGCAGAAGAGGGCTGGCTGGTTTTTGACATCACAGTCACCAGTAACCACTGGGTGCTGAACCCGGGCCGTAACCTGGGCCTGCAGCTGGCTCTGGACAGTCTGGACGGTGAGCAAAATGAGCAATGCATTCACAAATCTGCCATTCAGAGAGCACGCAGAGAGCACGCTATGCTTCCACACACATATTTTTATGCACATTTTGGAATATTGCATAAAAATGCTGACCGGGAATGCCAGGATGTGTGTAAATTTAGAAAAAAATTACAATGAAAACACATTTACTGCAAAAAAGTGTATAGATTCCAGCAGGTGCATCAAAAATGTCATGTGATTTGTAAATGTAGCTTTGGTCATTTTAAAGTGCCTTAGCTGAAGTCCGTCATCAAAGTGGTTCAGTGCACTTTAGTGGGCTTTTGTACTTTCATAATGTGCTTTTCAGTTTAATGTTAAGCATTTACGTTTTTAGATATAACCTTTAAGTGCTTCATAACCTTTGTTTTGTGTCGATTAAAACTGCAATACATATTTTTTAAAGGTGGTTTTCTCAAAATTAGTTATTCCCCATACATCCACATCAAAATCAGAATCAGTTTTATTGCCAAGTGTGCTTCACACACACACAAGGAATTTGTTTTGGCTAAAGAAGCTTTCAGTGTACATAAAGTGACAAGTGACAACACAAAATAAATAGGAAAAATAAATAAATAAATAAAAAAGACGATAATCATTAAACAGAGATGCAGTTTGTCAAGAAATCTGAGTGTTGACTTGTATGTACGGATTTGTATGGATAAATATACAGGTTATAAGGTGCCTCCGACCAGAAGGTAAAGGTTCGAACAGGAAGTGTGCTGGGTGCGAGGTGTCCAGAGTGATTTTGTGAGCCCTTTTACTCACTCTGAAGGAGTACAGTTCTTGAAGTGTAGGTAGTGCCAGTGATTCGTTTAGCAGTCCGGACTATTCGCTGTAGTCTACGGAAGTCGGTTTTGGCAGCTGAGCCGAACCAGGCATATACAGTAAGTTACAATAATTAGCCCTCCTGTCAAATTTCTATTCCCCCAATGATGTCTAATAGGCAAGAAAATTATGCATTTTGTTATACAGTATAAATGATACTTTATAAATAGTTTTTTCCCCTCTGGGAAAAGACTTATTTCTTTTAATTCGTCTGGAATAAAAGCCGTTATATTTTTTTTTACTATTTTTGAAAACAATTAATTATTACCCATCTAAAATTATATTTATAAATATATACAGTTGAAATCAGAATTTTTAGCCCCCCTTTGATTTTTCTTTTTTAAATGTTTCCTAAATTATGTTTTCACAGTGTTTCATTCATTCATTTTCATGTCGGCTTAGTCCCTTTATTAATCCGGGGTCGCCACACCGGAATGAACCGCCAACTTATCCAGCAAGTTTTTACACAGCGGATGCACTTCCAGCCACAACCCATCTCTGGGAAACATCCACACACACATTTACACACACACTCATATACTACTGACAATTTAGTTTACCCATTTCACCTGTACCGCATATCTTTGGACTTGTGGGGGAAACCGGAGCACCCGGAGGAAACCCATGCGAACGCAGGGAGATCATGCAAACTCCACACAGAAACGCCAACTGAGCCGAGGCTCGAACCAGCGACCCAGTGACCTTCTTGCTGTGAGGCGACAGCACTACCTACTGCGCCACTGCGTCGCCCTTTTCACAGTGTGTCTGATAATATTTTTTCTTCTAGAGAATTCTTATTTGTTTTATTTTGGCTAGAATAAAAGCAGTTTTAAATTTTTTATGAACCATTTTTAAAGTGAATATTACTAGCCCCTTTAAGCATTTTTTTTTCGATAGTTTACTGAACAAACCATCATTATACAATAACTTGCCTAATTACCCTAACCTGCATAATTAATCTAATTAACCTAGTTAAACCTTTAAAAGTCACTTTCAGCTGTATAAAAGTCTCTTGAAAAATATGTAGTCAAATATTATTTACTGTCATTATGATGTTATTATGTTTAGAAATGTGATGAAGAAATCTTCTCTCTATTAAACAGAAATTCTGGAAAAAAAATAAACAGGGAGGCTAATAATTCAGGGGGCCTAATAGTTCTGACTTCAATTGTATGCAAATTAGCTGGTATTTAATAAAGCAGTGGCTCATTCGCATAATAAACTTAACATTTAAGAAAACATACTACAAAAATAAATTCTATATGTAATCAGTCAACTGCACATGTACATTGAAATCTATTGATGTTTTCCCTCTATCCACCTGCAGTGTCTTGATTTAGTCTGGAGCTGCACAGAAAACGCTGGAGTTTAGTCTGAGATCAGAGCTTAGTCTGAAGAAGTTCAAAGTGATACGGAGCTGAAGCTCCAGTGTTTTCTCACTCTCATACTTCATTCCAGCCGCAGTGGGAGTGCGTTTTGTAGCGTAGCTCTGTGAGTAAGAAGGTGTGTGTGTGTGTGTGTGTACAGGATGTTACAGGTTTTAAGTGTTAGCATGAAAACAGGTGCAGTGTATTATGGGGCTCGCGTAGATCAGCGAGCCTGTCGAGACATGCTAGCGGGACGCCTGCCCTGCCGCTGTAGGCAACCGGCAACCCAGCTTTACCTCGGCGCGGAGACAGAAAGAGCATTCCTGCCTCTTTTTAAGAAACACACACACACACACACACACATACACACACACACACACACACATACACACACACACACACACACACATACACACATACACACACACACATTAAAGCCGGTGTGTAGGTAAAAGGAGTCCAGAATGGCACAGAAACAGATGTAAGTGCTGGAATTTTCTGAGTAAACAGGGAACTAAAAGCTCTTTTGAGAGTGGGAGAGATTACACAAAATAAACATGAGAAGTTGCATATTCTTGGAGAACACACACACACATGCTCTTACAAAGTTGTGTTCATTTACAGTTTTTTTTTTATTGTTTTGCCACAAATTTCAGAACCCTGATATCAATTGTCAAAACTCTAGAAACACAATTCTAAATGCTCACTACTTTTAACAGAGACTCTCCAGTGTTCAAAACTCTGCATGCTGCATTCATTTCCTTCAAGAAGTCTTGCATTTGAAAGATCATTAATAATAATAATTAATTCATTTTCTTGTCAACTTAGTCCCTTTATTAATCCGGGGTCGCCACACCGGAATGAACCGCCAACTTATCTAGCAAGTTTTTACGTTCGCCTCACAGCAAGAAAGTCACTGGGTCGCTGGTTCGAACCTCGGCTCAGTTGGCGTTTCTGTGTGGAGTTTGTATGTTCTCCCTGCCTTCGCGTGGGTTTCCTCCGGGTGCTCTGGTTTCCCCCACAGTCCAAAGACATGCGGTACAGGTAAATTGGGTAGGCTAAATTGTCCGTAGTGTATGAGTGTGTGTGTGTGAATGTGTGTGTGTATGTTTCACAGAGATGGGTTGCGGCTGGAAGGGCATTCGCTGCGTAAAAACTTGCTGGATAAGTTGGCGGTTCATTCCGCTGTGGCGACCCCGGATTAATAAAGGGACTAAGCCGATAAGAAAATGAATGAATGAAGAGTAAAAGTCAGAATAGTGACATACTGTAAACATACAATTGTGAGAATAAAAATTTTTTTTGAGGCAAACTGAAAATTTGGAGAATTGAGAGAGGTAATTTTAGTTTTAGAAATAAATAAATCTAAAAAATGAAAACTGAGTTCACTTTTTTAAAAGTCATGCTGGATAAAACCACTCGGTTCTGAGAAAAGGTCAGAATTGTGAGAAATTGTGAGAAAAAAAAAAACTATATTTATATTTATGAGATAAGAAATAAACTGCAAGATGCAAAATATGATGGTAGAAGACATTAAACATTTTGGGCTCTATTTTAACAAACTCTAATGCTGCGTTCACACCAGACACAGAAGAAGCGTCAAGTGCGAGTGATTTACTGTACATGTTAAGTCAATGCAAAAATGCGAATAGACATTTGTGCGAATGAGGCGGCGCGAATGACGTGATTCACACGAATAAAGCGGCGCAACTTGAGCATTTTTCACGATTGACGCACTGTCGCTCAAGTTGGAAAATCTGAACTTGTGTATATTTGCATTGCTTTAACCCATTAGGAGCTTTCTCTTGTAGGGGCGTGCTTATGACATAGCACCTGTTATTGGTGTCCCGGGTGGAAATCCTCCTGCCGACACCAGACAACAGTTGATTAAACTGTGCTCGACTCAGTCGGAAGCATCACTGAAAGCCTCCATCATCCAGGTACAATTTCTGGAGAAGTTGATGAACTCACAGAGCTGGGTGCACCTCTGAAAGGATCTAGATGACTTAGACACAGCTCCAAATAAATCAACGCTGTTTTTCAGCCTTCATAAAGTGCATGAACACAGCTGTTATTTCAATAAAATCCATATTAGTCATTTAACAAGAAAGTCACTGGGCTGACAGAATCCCTGCCAATGTCGCGAATCTGTGTTTATTGCTCAGTGAATTTGACGAACGAGTGAATCGGTTTTGAAGTGGGAATGAAGCGGATTTGACGTGTGAATGCAGCGGATTTGAAGTGCGAATGAAGTGGATTTGACGTGTGAATGAAGCGGATTTGACATGCGAATGAAGCGGATTTGACGTGTGAATATCGCAATTTATCTGCACGTTTCCCGTCTAGTGTGAGCACAGCACAGCAATTCCACTTTTGCTATTTTAAGGACAGAAAAATACACTTGTGCATTCTCTTATTGAGTTATATGTGTTTTGAGCATAACGTACATTAAACCAATCAGAGTCTCAACTCCCATTCCCTTTAAGAGTCAGTTGCATAGCTGTAAGGTCGCATTTATTATTTACATGATGTACTTTGTAAGTGGAAAAACTGAATGCTTCACTAGCGAGAAAACAATTAAACAGAGCATCTGCAGCACAAGGATTAAGAATGATCCTCCTCCATTTGGCCTCTTTACTTTCTCTTTATTTTACTTTTTACTTTACTTTCGTGGATAAGCTCTGCCCTCTTTTAAAAAGAGCATAATTCCTTTTTTAATTTAAAGTGACAATCAAAAAAAAAGGCACATATGGTATGAAAAAGAGTTATAAAACATTAGTTGCGGGATGTTTCGAGCTAAAATTTCACATACGCACTCTAGGGACATCAGAGATTTACGATCTTGTAAAAAGAAGTATAATAGTTCCCCTTTAACAAAAATGATTTGATGTAAAGTTGCAATTACAAATTCATGATAGAAGTCAATATATTCTGCTGCAGAAATTGCTCACCCACAGTAATATCCGATTCAAACTCACACTAAAAATGTTTGTCACCCATTATCCAGATGAAAAAGATCTTGTATAACTTTACAGTACTGCTTTCCCTCATGGATTTGTACCTGTCAACATTTCCACTAACAATCTCAAGATGTATTTCTCTCCTCTATTATCTCAGCATCATAAATGATTGTTGTGAAATGATGAACTGTGAAATCTCTCTCTGTCTCCCCCTGCAGGTCAGAGTGTGAACCCCTGGGTGGCGGGACTGGTGGGGCGCAGTGGCCCTCAGAGCAAACAGCCCTTCATGGTGGCCTTCTTCAAAGCCACGGAGGTCCACATCCGCAGCATCCGCTCCGCTCAGGGCGGAAACAAGCAGCGCAATCCCAACCGCTCCAAAACCGCCAAGGGCCAGGAGGCGCTGCGTGTAGCCAATATTGCAGGTGTGTGTGGCTGACGTGTATTGAAGGAGGCAGGTGAAGAAAGACATATAGTAAGACCAAACTGAGAGAAAGGCACTTAGTATAGTTCTGTGCCACCCTGAAAATAAAAAAAAATATATATGGAAAAACCATTATTTATAATATATGCTAAAGGAATTAGGAATATTCACGTGGAAAAGAAGTGTACTGAAGTGTGACACTATTTATTATGCAAACTTGTAGTGTACTGCAAATTCACAATATATTTTTATACACACTGTATACTATTTTTAATGCTCTTAATTAAAAAAAAATACTGTTTCAAAACAAGTATATACACTGTACAAATAATCCGTAATTTTACATTTGTAATGTAAAATGATAACCGGTAAATTACAAACATTAAATACCATATAATACTATAACCATAAAATAACAGATGTTAAATTACAGAAATTTACCAGAAGTTTACATTTAAAGAAATTTCTGCAATTTTACGTACGTTAGTTTTTATAATAATTAATAATAATAATTCCTTACATTTATATTGCGCTTTTCTGGGCACTCAAAGCACTTTACACACAATGGGGGGAATCTCCTCATCCACCACCAGTGTGCAGCATCCACCTGGATGACGCGACGGCAGCCATTTTGCGCCAGACCGCACACCACACACCAGCTGATTGGTGGAGAGGAGACAGCGATGAAGCCAATTGGAATATGGGGATGGTTAGGAGGCCATGATGGACAAAGGCCAGTGGGCAGATTTGGCCTGGATGCCGGGGTTAAACCCCTACTCTTTTCGAAGGACATCCTGGGATTTTTTTTAACGACCACAGAGAGTCAGGACCTCGGTTTAACGTCTCATCCGAAAGACGGCGCTCACTGAGCAGTATAGCGTCCCCGTCACTATACTGGGGCATTAGGACCCACACAGACCGCAGGTTGGGCGCCCCCTGCTGGCCTCACTAACACCACTTCCGGCAGCAACCTAGCTTTCCCATGTGGTCTCCCATCCAGGTACTGACCGGGCGCAGCCCTGCTTAGCTTCAGTGGGCGACCATGTGAGAGTTGCAGAGAGCTAGCTGCCAAATTTTTGGAAAATTTCTGTAATTTAATGTTTGTTATTTTATGGTAAATTTCTGTAATTTAATGTTGGTTTTTATGGTAAATTTCTGTAATTTAACAACCGTTATTCAATGGCAATTTCTTTAATTTAACATTTTTTATTTTATGTTAAATTTCTGTAAATAATGTTCGTAATTTTTTGGCTAATTTCTGTAATTTATTGTTCGTTATTTTATGGTAAATTACTGTAATTTAATGGTTGTTATTTTACAGTTAATGACTAAAATTTATACATTTGTTATTTTATAGCAAATTTCTGTAATTTAACGTTCGTTATTTTATGGCAAAATTCTGTAATTTAACGTTCGTTATTTTATGGCAAATTTCTGTAATTTAACGGTCGTTATTTTATGGGCAATTTCTGTAATTTAACATTCATTATTTTATGGCAAATTTCTGTAATTTAACGGTCGTTATTTTTTGACAAATTTCTGTAATTTACCGTTAATTATTTTTTAGCAAATTTCTGTAATTTAACGTTCGTTATTTTTTGGCAAATTTCTGTAAGTTAACGGTAGTTATTTTACAGTAAATTTATGTAATTTAGCACTCGTTATTTTATAGCAAATTTCTGTAATTTAACATTTGTCATTTTATGGCAAATTTCTGTAATTTAATAGTCGTTATTTTTTTACAAATTTCTGTAATTTACCGTTCGTTATTTTTTGGATATAAATGCGTTCGTAAGCTTTTTCTTTTCTCGTGGCTTGGGCCACCATCAGCTGTTCCTACACACGTACAGCAGTCAATTTTTAAAATAGTTCAGCTTTTGCCACTGTGTGGATTAATTCTGAATGTGTGTCTGGGTAAAGAGTAGAGTAATATGTTGGTGTTTAACTGCATTGCTTTAATGTACTCCTGCATTTGACTCACACATACACTCTGCACTCTGACTACTTCAAAATTGTTTATAAGCCGTAGTGGGCATTTCTCTCTGTCTCCACTGAACGCAGTCGACCAACCCCAACAGACTGGGTCATCGGACCAATCAGTGCAGATTAGCTTTTTCTGTACATCATTGTTTATTAGTTCTATATATATTTTTTTCTCATATATGCAAGTAAATGTCTGTGTATGGTTATATGTCACCCTCTATCTATGCCAAATTAATGATGATAGTTGACTTTGTTTGTTAAATTATTTGAGTGTTATTGAGATATTTAAATGAGTCATGTGACCGTAGTACTCAAGAGAGACTCTAGACCAGTGGTCACCAACCCTGTTCCTGGAGAGCTACCTTCCTGTAGAATTCAGTTCCAACCCTGATCAAACACACCTGAGCTATTTAATTAGGCCCTAAAGCGCACTTGATAATTACAGACAGGTGTGTTTGATTAGGGTTGCAATTTAAATCTGCTGGAAGGTACAGTAGCTCTCCAGGAATAGGGTTGGTGACCCCTGCTTTAGACGCAGACGATGACTGTTACCCTTATAGACCCAGATCCTTGCCGAAATGCTTAGGTTTTAAAAGATTTAGCCATGTGAATAAAGGCTTTTTAAATTTTCCAAAATTTTTCGAGTGCCTTTGACTGATTCATGTTGTTGAATAAATTACAATATTTGAGTAATTAATTACATTAATTAATACCACATTATTTCATATACCAGAAACAAACATATAACATTAAACTGAATTCATTAGTTTTTTTTTTTGTGTGCCACCCCAAGATTTGGTGTGGCCTAAGAATATTTTGTGGGGGCGCCACTCTGGAGGAAGGGAGAAAATGCAGGACTTGAATGCTGTCCTCTAAATGTGAATTTTGTTTTTGTTTTGGAGCTCTCAAGCTTTATTTCAAGACTAACATATTGATACTAACATCTAAAATAATGATTGATTTTACAGGGACTTTAAAGAAAAAATTGCTTTGCAGGTTTGCCTCAACATGCCCTTAAATGAAAACAATTTAATTCAATTTCAAGCTGAACTGTTCCTTAAAGGCAAAAGAGAACTGGAGATAAAATGTGTGCGTTTCTGTGTCTGTTCATGTGGTTCCTATTAGTGTGTAATTCTCTGCAGGTCATTTTGCACAGTAATAACATTACAGTGTTAAATGGCTATTAAATGAATTTGGGTCAGTGTACTGCATAGGTATATGAGGGTTTCAAGGAATCTGGACAGCTTCGGTGACCTAGTCCTCATATTTCTCAGTCTTCCTCACAGTTTAGTGTTGGCTTTAGCACTTTTTCACACATTATAAGTAAGGTATACACTCACCGGCCACTTTATTAGGTACACCTTACTAGTATTGGGTTGGACCCTCTTTTGCCCTCAGAACTGCCTTAATCCTTTGTGGCGTAGATTCAACAAGATACTGGAAAATATGGATTTTGGTCCATATTGACATGATAGCATCACACAGTTGCTGCAGATTTGTCAGCTGCACATCCATGTCATCTCCCACCACATCCCAAAGGTGCTCTATTGGATTGAGATCTTGTGGCTGTGGTGGCCATTTGAGTACAGTGAACTCATTGACATGTTCAAGAAACCAGTCAGAGATGACTCAAGCTTATGGCAGGTTATCCTGCTAGAAGTAGCCATCAGAAGATGGGTACACTGTGGTCATAAAGGGATGGACGTGGTCAGCAACAATACTCAGGTAGGCTGCGGTGTTGACAAGATTCTCAATTGGTACTAATGGGCCCAAAGTGTGCCAAGAAAATACCCCCCGCCCCCCCCATTACACCACCACCACGACCACCACTAGCTTGAACCATTGATACAAGACAGGATGGATTCATACTTTTTATGTTTCATGTTTTTTTCTGCTGCTGTAGCCCATCCGCTACAAGGTTTGACATGTTGTGTGTTCAAAGATGCTCTTCTGCATACCTCTGTTATAACGAGTGGTCATCTGAGTTACTGTTGCCTTTCCATCTGCTCAAACCAGTCTGGCCATTCTATTACTCTTCTGCTACAATCTGAGCTATTGTTAAGGCTTTTTATGCCCTTTTTATTATCAGTGTTAAGCTTTGGCACAATCTACATGATAAAAATAAAGATTAATAGAATTTTATTGATTAATTTGCACCCGTGTGGGACAGATGAATCAATAATATGTAGCTCCACAGGAGAACAACCATTCATTTTAAATGCATATATCTGCTAAACTTTTATTTTGAAAAAGTTCAAGTGTAGAACTTGTGGTAACACTTTATTTTGATGGTCCATTTGAGTATTAGCAGACTGTCTGCTTAATATCTGTTGATACTCCTCCTAAACGGACATTTAACTGACTATAAGAAACTTTGCAAGTTCATGTCAACTTACACTAACCCTAACCCCAACAGTCTACTTCAAATCGAATGAGAATTAATTGGAATGCAGATGCACTGTAACCTAAATTCAACAAACAGACCATCAAAATAAAGTGAGACCGAACTTGTGTTTTTATTTTAAATATAAACAGTGCTCAGCATACGTACATAGTACACCCCTCACATATCTGTCTTTTAAATTCATATTTTTAACAGGAAGCTTTACAATATTATTTGACATTAGATTTGAGATTAGTCAGTTCTGAAGCCAAATCTGGAGCTTTTTTAACAAAAATAACTAATGATAACGGTCCAAAAACTAGTACACCCAAATTTATGTTGTAAATAAATATTAAATACAAATTTTAAAAAAGGAAAAATCAAGAGAAGCAAAAAATAAACAAATAAATAAATAAATAAGTAGTTGAAATTGTGTTATTTATTTTTGCAATACTTTGCTTGATTTTAATTGTATTATCTTTCAGTTTCTAAATATGTTTGGTGACCAAAATATTAATTTACTGAATATATCTGTTTAATACATCTGTTTGTTTAAATGCACCAAAATACATTGCCTCTGTTCACTGAGCAATGGATACAAATATATATTCATTCATTCATTCCTTTTCTTTTCGGCTTAGTCCATTTATTAATCTGGGATCGCCACAGCGGAATGAACCGCCAACTTATCCAGCAAATGTTTTACGCAGCAGATGCCCTTCCAGCTGCAACCCATCTCTGGGAAACATCCATACACACTCATTCACACTCATACACTACAGCCAATTTAGCCTACCTAATTCACCTGTACCGGATGTCTTTGGACTGTGGGGAAAACCCACACGAACGCAGGAAGAACATGCAAACTCCACACAGAAATGCCAACTGACCCAACCGAAGCTCGAACCAGTGACCTTCATACTGTGAGGCGACAGCACTACCTACTGCGCTGCCAGATACGAATATTCATTTTCAAAATGGGGTACACTTATTTAAGCTGAGCACTGTGTATATATTTGTTTGGAGACTGACTATATTGGCAAATAGTTTACTCTTCTGCAGGTTTGCACCATATCTCCAGCGATGACCATTTCTATTGAGGTTTCTTAAATTCTGTATCTCTTTTTGTTTTCAGAAAACAGCAGTGCTGACCAGAAGCAGGCCTGTAAGAAACATGAACTGTATGTCAGTTTTCGAGACCTTGGATGGCAGGTATGATAACCGTCTATTACCAATATTAGATTTTGTTAATGTTATTTACCTATTCTTTTACATATTTGCAGTGGTGTAAAATGACAATAACAAATGCTCAAATTACTGTAGAGTAGTTTTTCCTGTAAAGCAGCAAACCGAAAGGAATACTTCCCATTATTGACGAGAAAAAGCATAATGGATGAGTCATTTCCCGCGTCATATCGCAAATTAATTCTTCAGCCAATCAAGGGCCCCCTTCTTCCATGGGCCCTTCTTCCCACCTAGCCCTTACGTTAATCCGGCCATGATGACGTCTATCAGACGTTGGATTTTGGTGGCCATACCTGATTAATAAATGTCAGTATTTGATGTCAATATGACGTTGGTTTAAGATGTTGGGTCACTTTGCACCACTACCTAAAATCAACCAAATATCAATCAAATCAAAATTAATCAATCAAAATAATGTTGTCATTAGACACTGGCTAGATATTGAATTTTGGTCACCTGACATCACACTCTAAATCTAACCTAATATTAGCATCATATGACGTTGTCTGCCTGCTACTAAATGCACTACAGAATGTTACGTTTACACACATCCACAAATTACATGTAAATGCATCAGCTTTTCACAGGGTAATACTCACTACTCTTGAGTACTTTTGAAAAGTCTTCTTTTTACTGATAGTTTGAGTAATATTTACAACAGATACTTTTACTCTACTTAAGCAAGTAATGGTACTTTAACTTAAGTATGATTTTTCAGAACTCTGTCCACTACTGTATATTTGTTATTTTTTTACTGCTGCTCAGTATAATTGAGTACATCTCTCACAGATCTCTCTTTTAAATTAATATTTTCTACAAGACACTTGAAAAAACATATACAGTTGAAGTCAGAATTATTAGCCCCCTCATTTATTTTTCCCCACAATTTCTGTTTAACGGAGAGAAGATTTTTTCATCCCAAAAGCCATTGTAATTGTGGTAAATATTGACTTCTCATTAATTACAAATTATCAGACCGGAGGTTTTGAATATCAGAAAATAGACTTTATTCTCCATAATAAAGCAGAGAAAGAGCAGAGCAGACCCCAGACCATTCTGAAGTCTCTCCTGGACACCTTCTGAAATCTCTCCTGCACCTTCTGAAGTATCTGTGTTTGTTACAATTTTTATACAGGATTATTTGACACACCCCTAAGTCTCTTTTTAACTCTTGACCATTTTTGAATAGGTTTTTAGTCTAAGGGGTCCTGCTATTCTTGGCTCTCAGCCCACTAGCTCATGTCAACAGAGATGTTACAGGTCTATGTCAGCAAAGTATAGATGCAACTTATGCAAAGGAACTAAGTGTTTACATACATTGTCATGAAAGCATAATAACTTGATAATATGTTACTCATTCTAACTTCTGACACATATAGCTTCATAGAAGTATTTAACATATATAATCAGTGCTTTACATATTCAGTTATTCTACACAATCAGTCACTCAGCCTTCTCCTAGTGTTGCTTCTGTGCAGGCACTCTCATCTTACACAGACATATCACTGTATTTTTAACACAGGCTGGCATGTTTGCTGCAAACACTACATACATTTTGAGAAGAGAAAATTAACTGCTTTACACTTAGAAAATACTTCACACAGAGAGAATAGAAATCTTCTTCATAATCTGTAAAACTTTTATTCCCCCAGCAGTTTTCTTCTGTTAGCTCTGGTCCTTCTCCATCTCACTCCACATTCCTCTTTATCTCTCTGTGTGTTTATGGCTCAAGCAGTTTTATGAGTGTGTGTAGCTCCATTAGGCTGCATTACCTCAAGAGCACGAGCAGAGACAGCAGAGCCTCCTTTCTGTTTACACACCCTCAGTCCTGCCACCTGTAGCAGATCTGTCTCTTCTGCTGGATCACACACATAAACACTGGCTCTGAACAGCTGGACGGGACTCAGAGACCCTCGCTATAACAGAAGGCTTTATATTACCTCTGATTCACTTTTGAAGTTTTTACACAGCATGTTTACATGGATAACAATATTCTGCCATTAAGATGATTAAGACAATACTATTTGGGGTGAATTAGGATTAGGGCTGGGGCAATAAATCGATGCATTGAGATAATATGAGTTTGATTTTCAGAATGCATTGCGATTTTTCTGTTGATTCAATTCTGACTCTGAACTATCTGCCATACTCTGTCTCGTACCACCTGAACCTAAAATAACCATTTATGAAGTTATGCAAATGTTTAGGCATTGTATGCTTTTATTACATTTTTACATTTCTTTTTTTAAACCTGAGCTTATCTTGACAAACTATAAATTATATAGAATTTTCTATAATTTCCAAGTGTACATTTCAAATTTGGGGTGACAGAATTACAAGAGAGTTCATAGTGAGCAGTGTTTATATTAATCCCATGGCATAAAAGCTGAGGTGCAGTACATTTGAACAAATGACCTAGACTCTTCTTCTTGAAGATTTGAGTGTAGAGTTAAAAACTAACCTAAAGAGCACCATCTGCTTTTAAAGCCTAGCCTAGCCCACCATCTATCTGTTGTTAATCGCTAGCCTAGAGCATCATCTTCTATTAAAACTAGTCTAGAGCACCATCTATTCCTAAAAACTAGCCTAAAGCTCCATCTGCTGTTAAAAAAACTAGTCTAGAGCATCATCTGCTGTTAAAAACTAGCCTAGAGCATCATCTGCTGTTAAAAACTAGTCTAGAGCATCATCTGCTGTTAAAAAAACTAGTCTAGAGCATCATCTGCTGTTAAAAACTAGCCTAGAGCATTATCTGCTGTTAAAAACTAGCCTAGAGCGTAATCTGCTGTTAAAAACTAGTCTAGAGCGTAATCTGCTGTTAAAAACTAGTCTAGAGCATCATTTGCTGTTAATAACTAGCCTAGAGCGTCATCTGCTGTTAAAAACTAGCCTAGAGCATTATCTGCTGTTAAAAACTAGTCTAGAGCATCATTTGCTGTTAATAACTAGCCTAGAGCGTCATCTGCTGTTAAAAACTAGTCTAGAGCACCATCTGCTGTTAAAAACTAGCCTAGAGCACCATTTGCTGTTAAAAACAATTCTAGAGCACCATCTGATGTTAAAAACTAGCCTAGAGCTCCATCTTGTGTTAAAAACTAGTCTAGAGCATTATCTGCTGTTAAAAACTAGTCTAGAGCGTAATCTACTGTTAAAAACTAGCTTAGAGCACAATCTGATATCAAAAACTAGCCTAGAGATCCATCTGCTGTTAAAAACTAGCCAAGAGTGCCATCTGCTGTTAAAAATTAGCATAGAGCACCATCTGTTATGGATGCTAAAACTAAGCTCATAAGCAATTCTAGAGTCATAATGCATTCCAAGAATCGGTCCTCACATCACTAATCATCTCAGCTCTATTCAGAATCAGTTCATGTAAACAGGATTCTTGATGTACTTAATCTGACCAAAGTCATACTCGGAAGTAAACACAAATAGAATTCAGATGCTTTCTAATTTAATACAAAATTTCTTAACTCGTCAACTTTCCCTTTAAACGCACCCACATACTTTAGCATATGTGTGGAATATGATTGCAGTTTACTGTGATCTATCTTTCTGTTCACAGTTTAAGCCTTCAACTGTGCTTGGTTGGGAAAGTTCTAACTCAAGGTTGTTAATTTTTATGTGCTCTGTCCATCTTTCAGGATTGGATTATAGCTCCTGAAGGATACGCTGCATATTATTGCATGGGAGAATGTGCCTTTCCTCTCAACTCCTACATGAACGCCACAAACCACGCCATTGTACAGACATTGGTAAGCCTGTCGCTGTTCACACTTTAGCTGTTTCGGTTAATTTATTTTGTAAATGTATTTATAGTGGGGAAAATTAGAGATTTAGAGACTTATTTCTCGCATTTCAATATCACTGCTTAGTTTATTTGAATAAATACTAACATGATATATATATATACACTGTTACATTTCGGTAAAAGTTTATAATAATATAATAACTTCACACTATAAATCATTTATTAAGCATTAGCATGTAGTGAATTCATTATTTGTTAAGCATTAACTCCACATTAATAAGCATTAGTAAGCAGTTTATAACTGTAGCTACAAATGCTGTGTTCTTGATTTACAACCACATGTATAATGTGCTTATTAATTGTATATTCATCCTTTGTAAATTATTTGTTTTTCATTACTAAATTAAGTATTGCATTGTTTACAAACCATTTGTATTTGAGAGTAGTTAGTAATTTTTAGGGTCATTCAGAATGAGTTATAAAGGATTAATAAACTTTTAAAAGTTTTTTACGTCTTATTATTCAGACATATATTAATTGTTGCTATATATGTTAATAAATGCGTTATTAACTTAACTTCATGCAGTTTTGTGACCTAATCTAAAGTGAGGACCATTAATGCTTTATAAATCCCTTATAAATGACTTATTACAGAACTCCGTATCAAATGAACAATAATCTTTGCAATCTTATCTAAAAAGTAAAATTACTGTAAAGTTTAACGTTTGCTGAATAACACGGAGTGTCAAAATACGACATACAACAATACAACAATCTAATAATTGAACAGTATAATAGATTGCAATGTTTAAACTGTAGAGTGATTTAATTTTAGATAAGGTTGCAAAGATTTATTTTTATTTGATGCAGTTTCATTTGTGTATCTTCAAACGAGTAGAAATGAATAATGTGGTTTATGTCCTTTTTTCCTGTTTAAATTTTACTGACTTTAATGGTCATTTATACTGGATTTATGAAGTACTGTATAAAGAGCCCTAGCTTTAGATTAGATTACAAAACTGGATGACGTTGAGTTAATAAAGCATTTATTAACATACAAATTAACTATTAGTATAAACCTGAATAATAGGGATTATAAATGTTGATTTAAATAGTTAATTAATTATTTACAAACTCATTCTGAATGATCTTAAAAACCACCAGCTATGCCTAAATAACTGCTTTGTAAGTAATGCAATACTATAATTTAGTAATGAAAAATAAATCATCAACTAAGTATGAAAATACAATTATTAAGCGCATTATGAATGTGGTTATAAATCAAAAACACAGCATTTGTAGCTGCTGTTATAAACTGCTTAGTAACGTTAATAATGCAAAGTTATTGGTTTACAATATTGAAATCACTATTTGCTTATGCTCAATAAATAGTTCATAGTGTGTAGTTATTATAAAGTGTTACCCTCATTTCTAATAACTGATTTATTTTATCTTTGCTATGATGACAGTAAATAGTATTAGACTAGATATTTTTCAAGACACTTCTATACAGCCTAAAGTGACATTTAAAGGCCTAACTAGGTTAATTATGTTAGTCTGGTTTGGGTAATTAGGCAAGTTATTGCATAATGATGGTTTGTTCTGGAGACTACTGAAAAATAAAACTTAAAGGGGCTAATAATTTTGTCCTTAAAATGGTACAAATGGTCTATCAGTCAAAATTATCACCCCCCCCCCCTCTTTATATATATATATATATATATATATATATATATATATATATATATATATATATATATTTCCTGATATGTTTAACAGAGCAAGGAAATTTTCACAGTATGTCTAATAACATTTTTTCTTCTGGAGAAAGTCTCATTTGTTTTATTTAGGCTAGAATAAAAGCAAAATTAGTATTTTTAAAAAAACATTTTATTATTATTATTATTATTTATTATTATCCCCTTTAAGCTTTACATTTTTTCAATAGTTATTTTAATATAGTCAGTCGTGAACTGAAGTGGGCCGGTCTAAGGCTTGAAACTTCAGGGCTGAAAAGTAGTCCCACTCCGGCTTTGCTCCTGGGATGCTCTCCAGAAATGTATGTAATCAGAATGAGCCTGGGTTGAGTTTTTCGCATTATAATGCAGACAAACGCTTTTTCCTATAGATCTGTTTGATTCTTTCACCAGTATAATCTCAGATGATTAAGATGCTGATTTAGTGTTCACATGCTAATAATGATAGAGTGGAAATAACTTGGATGTTGATGAAATGTTGTTGTGTTTTTAAACTGAGGAGAAAGTCCAATTAACCAATTTAAATGTGCCTTATCTTGAAAAAAGGTGGATTCTTTTACCCGTTTGATTATACCAACATGATGGTCACGTCATGTATGAAGGATCTCATTTTAACGAGAAATAGATGTTGTTTAACAAGAAAATTGTCATTTTAATGAGACAATTAAGTTGGATTAACAAGAAAAATATGTCGTTTTAATGAGATAATTGTATCGTTTACCTAAACAACATCTCGTTATAAGCAGAAAAGATGCAGCTTTTTGTTTTTATGATTAAAGATGTAATTTTAATGAGAAAAGATCTCATTATTATGACATAATTGAGGGATATAAATAATATGTGTGTGGCAGCAGTGAATCACCAGACTACAATGCCCAATTCCTTATCAGAAGAAATAATCAAAAGACATGAGCATGTTGTGTGGCGGGAGAACCTGTCTAAAGCTCACTTTAATGATGATATAAAGTTTTGTTTGATTGAGCCTGGTGGAGAACATTATGTTCATCGTCAAACTGTGGAAAGAGTGAATCCAAAGTGTGTACAGATTTCTATAAAGGTGGAGGTAAAGTGCCCACCTTTTGCCTCCACACTTCATACTTCTTTTAAGGGATGCACCGACACTATTTTTTTGGAATCGATCTTGATATCAAAGTATCAAAACTGAATCAGATCCGATCCTAGTACTGTGCCTTTTTTTATTATTTATAATTTTTTTATGAACATAATTCACTGTAAGAAAAAAAATCGTAAAAAAAGGTCAAAACTAACAGCTACGGGTGCCAAACAAAAACCATAAAATGACGGTAAAATGTCTTTGTTGAAATAAAGTGCAAAAAATAATAAATGTACAGATATTTTCATTTAAATGTTTACAGAAAAACACTATTATTTTACAGACTTTTCCTAGATTATTACGATCAAATCCATTCAATAATGTTACACACTAAGTGCGCTCACATGCACCTGTTCCGGATTCCGCTGATTGCACACACAGTCGGAGGATCATTATGAACTGATTACATGCACTTTAAAAGCAGCATAGACCAATTGCTTAGTCTTGTTATACTAAATGGCTTCAAAACATTTGGGATATGGTAGGCCTACATGACAATTTTCTAGTGCTTTATAATAGGCTACCTTCATGGCTTTTGTTGGCTTCTAAATTACACAGAACATAGCGCACGTGCAAGATCGGTTTTGGATCGGTACCAGCTGGCCGATACCCGATCCAGCAAAAATATGCAGTATCTAACTGATAGCCGATACAAGTATCAGGATCAGTGCATTCTTTTTGACTGCTGTGACCATCACAAATTTTGGTTGTATAAACTAAATCATCAGCTCTTTTCACACACAGACTTTTATGGAAAATTACCGGCAATTTTTCGGAAAGGGATCATATGTGAGCAGGCCCTTTTGAAAAATACCAGTAAATTTGATCACTGTCATTTTATATAAAAATAGTAGGTTATAATAGGTTGTAAACAGTTGAAGTCAGAATTATTAGGCCCCCCTGAATATTTTTCCCCAATTTTGAAAAGATATTTTAATACATTTCTAAACATAATAGTTGTACTAATACCTGATTTATTTTGTCTTTGCCATAATGACAGCACATAATATTTTTCTAGATATTTTTCAAGATATTTGTATTGAGTTTAAAGTGACATTTAAAAGCGTAACTAGGTTAATTAGGCAGGATAGGGTAATTAGGCATAATTAGGGTAATTAGGGTAATTAAGTCATCGTATAATGATTGTGTTGTTTGTTCTGTACAAATATATATAAAAAAAAAACATCTGTATTTTTAAGTAAGTGTGCTCTTTTATTTTGCTTTTATTCTTGCCATAATAAAAATAATATTTTTAGAGCAACCCATGTTCTATTTTCATTAACATTTTAATAAACTTTAATAGGTAAAACTGTCCGAGATATGATCAAAAGCAAGCGATGCATCAAAGTTTGATTTAAAAAATCTTAAACTGTTATAAAAATCCTTATAATCATTAAAATAATTTATAAAAACAATAAAAATAATTAGCTTAAAATATTGAATGATATTAATGATATGATGTAGGTCCGGAAACTTTCTACTTCTCTGTTTTTCAGTCTCATTTTAAGGTCAGTTTCTTTTGACCGCCCCCTGCCCCCTGGTGAGTATAAAAGCCTCATCCGTTTCATGAGGGTGAGCGCGCAGTCATTGAAGGTGCGCAATGCGGCGCCAGGCAAAAGTATAAATCTAGCTTTATGCAATATTTTACAGTTTTTAAAGTAGCATTGTGAAAATTACTGTATATTTTACAGTAAAGATATACAGTGCTGTAAATTCAAGCAGTAAGGTAATTGGTGCTGTGAATGTAAATACAGTATTTTTGCTGTAATTGATTTACAGTAAGTTACTGGTGAACTGAACTGTAATATAAACTGAACCTTACTGTAGGACAGTTATGCAGTTTGTTACTATAATTTAAAGTTGCATTGTGAAAATTACTGTATATTTTACAGTAAAGATATACAATGCTGTAAATATATACACAGTAAGGTAATTGGTGCTGTGAATGTAAACACAGTATTTTTGCTGTAATTGATTAACAGTAAGTTACTGGTGAACTGAACTGTAATATAAACTGAACCTTACTGTAGGACATGTATGCAGTTTGTTACTGTAATTTAAAGTTGCATTGTGAAAATTACTGTATATTTTACAGTAAAGATATACAATGCTGTAAATATATACACAGTAAGGTAATTGGTGCTGTGAATGTAAATAGAGTATTTTTGCTGTAATTGATTTACAGTAAGTCACTGGTGAACTGAACTGTAATATAAACTGAACCTTACTGTAGGACATGTATGCAGTTTGTTACTGTAATTTAAAGTTGCATTGTGAAAATTACTGTATATTTTACAGTAAAGATATACAATGCTGTAAATATATACACAGTAAGGTAATTGGTGCTGTGAATGTAAATAGAGTATTTTTGCTGTAATTGATTTACAGTAAGTCACTGGTGAACTGAACTGTAATATAAACTGAACCTTACTGTAGGACATGTATGCAGTTTGTTACTGTAATTTAAAGTTGCATTGTGAAAATTACTGTAAATTTTACAGTAAAAATATGCAATGCTGTAAATACATACACAGCACAGTAAATGGTGCTGTAAATGTAAATACAGTATTTTGATTTACAGTAAATTACTGGTGAACTGAACTGTAATATAAACTGAACCTTACTGTAGGACAGTTATGCAGTTTGTTACTGTAATTTAAAGTCACATTGTGAAAATTACTGTATATTTTATGGTAAAGATATTCAGTGCTGTAAATACATACATAGTAAGGTAATTGGTGCTGTGAATGTAAATACAGTATTTTTGCTGTAATTGATTAACAGTAAATTACTGGTGAACTGAACTGTAATATAAACTGAACCTTACTGTAGGACATTTATGCAGTTTGTTACTGTAATTTAAAGTTGCATTGTGAAAATTACTGTAAATTTTACAGTAAAAACTATGCAATGCTGCAAATACATACACAGCACAGTAAATTATGCTGTAAATGTAAATACAGTATTTTGATTTACAGTAAGTTACTGGTGAACTGAACTAATATAAACTGAACCTTACTGTAGGACAGTTATGCAGTTTGTTACTGTAATTTAAAGTCACATTGTGAAAATTACTGTATATTTTATGGTAAAGATATTCAGTGCTGTAAATACATACACAGTAAGGTAATTGGTGCTGTGAATGTAAATACAGTATTTTTGCTGTAATTGATTAACAGTAAATTACTGGTGAACTGAACTGTAATATAAACTGAACCTTACTGTAGGACATTTATGCAGTTTGTTACTGTAATTTAAAGTTGCATTGTGAAAATTACTGTAAATTTTACAGTAAAAACTATGCAATGCTGCAAATACATACACAGCACAGTAAATGATGCTGTAAATGTAAATACAGTATTTTGATTTACAGTAAGTCACTGGTGAACTGAACTGTAATATAAACTGAACCTTACAGTAAGTCACTGTAGATTCTACAGAAAATTGTTAGCAGTGTGTATATTCACACACTTTAATCATGCAGTTTAAATATTTTCTTACAATTTAGGACACATAAGAAAAAGTGCATTGTACACTTTGTGACTTTGTCCTTTTTGCTTTTTTTGTCATTTCAGGTTCACTTCATCAACCCCGAAACAGTTCCAAAACCATGTTGCGCTCCTACACAACTCCACGCCATCTCCGTCCTGTATTTTGACGACAGCTCCAACGTCATCCTGAAGAAATACCGCAACATGGTGGTCAGAGCGTGTGGATGCCACTAGAGTCCTGTCACACATGCATAGACAATCATTACACCCATATAGACAATGCAAACACACACAAACACGCATGACTGATCCTCATTTATAAAAATGGCGCCCTCCCAAGATCCCACCAAAACGATATGAAGATCTCAGGCCAAACCAAGACCGTATACCAAGGACAAAATGAAAACTTTCGATTGGCCAGGATTGCAAAAGGAAGTTACAGATAACCTCTCTTTTTTACACACACACACACACACACACACACACACACGCACACAAACACACACACACACGCACACACACACACGCACGCACACGCACCAACACATGTATGCACACATTTACATACTTCTATATACTTGTGCTTTCTACTGTGTAAATAGTTTTTCAATGACAAAGTATTTATTTTCCAACACGAACTCTAAAACATGCTTGTCTTTTTGTGTTTTTTTTAAAATGCGTGTTATCATTGACTCATTTACCATTGATGAAGAAATGTATATATATATATATACACTACCTGGCAAAAGTCTTGTCGCCTATGCAAGTTTTAGGAACAACAAAAAGTAACTTGACTTCTAGTTGATCATTTGGTATCAGAAGTGGCTTATTTGAAAGGCCTCTAGATTACGCCTATTTTACCAAAATAAAACATGATAATACCTTGATTTTCAATTATTTCGAAACAGAAGTCTTGTCACTTAATAGAAATAATGCACAGGTTAGAATATAAAGTCATGCTGCAGTGAAAAAAAGAATTCATATTTTGTATGACTACTATGAGCTTGAAGGACTGCATCCATACATCTCTGCAATGACTCAAATAACGTATTAGTAAGGTCATCTAAAATGGCAAAGAAATCGTTCTTGCAGGACTCCCAGAGTTCATCAAGATTCTTTGGATTCATCTTCAATGCCTCCTCCTTCATCTTACCCCAGCCATGCTCAATAAGGTTCATGTCTGGTGACTGGGCTGGCCAATCCTGGAGCACCTTGACCAGGCACGTGCACACATAGGGCTCAACCTGTGCAGTGCACATGCCCTTTTTAGTCTTGGATAGAAAGTGCCCTTCCAAAATGATCAAAAGTGCCCCCTCGACCCCCCCCCCCTCCCCCGCTCTACAGTACGCGCGCGACAACACCACTGATCAGAACGCGCGCGACAACAACAACAACCGCGCGGCAACAATAATTTCACATAATCTACTTCAACACAATACTACAACACAATCCTTGAAATTTAAATGGGACAACTTCATTGTTTTATGCTAAATCTGTTTACATTTATTAAGTTAATTTGATTTATGTTGGGACAACATTAATTATCTGTGTGGATGGCAATTTTACAGTGTAATAGGAAATCAATTTATGAACGAATGCAAAAATGTACATTTAAATATGAAAAATTTTGGAGGGTTCAAAATTAACTACAGTTGGAGTCAGAATTATTAGCCCCTTGTTATTTTTTCCCTAATTTCTGTTTAACAGAAAGAAGATTTTTTTTCAGCACATTTCTAAACACAATAGCTTTAATAACTTATCTCTAATAACTTATATATTATATTATTATTATTTTATCTTTGCCATGATGACAGAAAATAATGTTTGACTAGAAATTTTTCAAGACATTTCTTTACAGCTTAAAATCACATTTAAAGGCTTAACTAGGTTAATTAGGTTAACAGGTTGGGGTAATTAAAATTTCTATGCTCTGTAAAACATCAGATAACATCAAATATTTCCATATTTGGAAATATTTAAAAATGTAAAAAAAAACTTAAATGTGGGCTAATAATTCTGACTTCAACTGTAAGTAAGCAACAACTCAATTGTTTAACTTTAAACTCAAAGTACTTGTTTAAAACGAAAGCATGAGTTTGATTGGTTCTCCAGCATTACCTAATATCTGTCATTTGACTTGCTTGTGTTTTGTTGAATGTCCAGCACATTGCCTTCTGCTGTTTTTCCACAGAGGGGCATTTATTAGGAGCATGTGAGGTGAGGATATCATTCCAGGCACTGATAGTGTTTTACTGCAGGCTCGGCCCAATAAATAAGTTTGAATAAACACAGGCTGTTCTTTGAGTACAGCGAGCACCACGTAGCCCAGCCGTGACCCTGAGACCTTCGGCCCCTATGTGCGTGAGTATGTGTTACTTAGGACATGACCACACGACATCTCTCAGTTTACTCGCATCTTTTATGTTCGTTCAACAAATCATCCTATTCATACACACAAAAATGACTTTTGCTGCTTGCTCAATCTACTTAATTAAAACAAGTTGAAACAACACAATTCTGAAGGTTTTATCTTATACTAAATTTCTAAAAACAAATTTAACTTAATTGATTTGTGTTGGGACAACATGAAGGAATTGTGTGGAACCCAGTATTTTTACAGTGCATGCAATATAATCATCTAGAGTTCATTACTGGTGCCCACATTTTCAACTGTGCTGTATCAATTAATATTTTATCGAATAAATTATTCTTACAAGTGTATCGGAGGCCAGCTAGTAGGTGCTGTGCAGGTAAACCTCACTCCTCTGACCTCTAAAGGTGCTCTAGCGACAGACATTAGGGGCCATGGTCTTTAGCCTCATTGTTAGAACAACTGATTCCCATGCGGAAGGTCGTTGGTTCGATACCAGCTCGGAGTGGATTGGGTGGCGTAGGACCGGCGGGGTTACATTGGTGCCGTGGCCCGGATGGGAATGAGGTTTGGGGGGGGTGAATGTAATGGAGGCCAGCTAGTAAGTGCTGTGCAGGTAAACCTCACTCCTTTGACCTCTAAAAGGTGCTCTAGCGACAGATGCTAGGGGCCATGGTCTTTAGCCTCCTTGTTAGAGCAACTGACTCCCATGTGAAAGGTGGCCGGTTTGATAAAAGCTCGGAGCGGGTTGGTTGGGTGGCGTAGGACCGGCAAACACACACACACACACACGTTGAAAAACTTTGAAAGCCTATAGTCAATACATAGAGTCAGGTCTAAATAATATTGGGACATCGACACAATTCTAACATTTTTGGCTCTACAATGGATTTGAAATGAAATGAAGATGTGCTTTATAGAGCTGCACAATAAATAAAATAATATTGCAATCTCGATTAGATTTAACTCGTTTTATTATAAGTAGAATAGAATTATTTATAAAAACCAGTAGACTTACACATATTATTACTGTTGTTTTACCATGTTTGAAAAAAAAAAAACTATAAAAATTGCCGACTCATATTAACCTTTATTTTACATCTACAGAATCGTAAAAATGGTGCTCTTTATTTTAAGCAAAAAAAAAATCGCAATTCTCATTTCAGCCAGAATCGTGTAGCTCTAGTGCTTTAACTGCAGACTGTCAGCTTCAATTTGAGAGTATTTACATTCAAATCGGGTCAACGGTGTAGGAATTACAACAGTTTGCATTTGTGCCTCTCACTTGTTAAGGGACCAAAAGTTATGGGACAATTGGCTTCTTAGTTGTTTCATGGCCAGGTGTGTGTGCTATAGAGCCAAAATATTTATATTTAAATATATAGAGCCCAATATTTATGGACCTGACTGTAACTGATGCTTTGCTAGCTTGAGCTGGCTTACTAGAAATTAAAAGTCCAGGTGCATGTAGCCCATAAAACCACACTTGTGACATTTAAAATCACATTGTGAGGTGAGAACATCTCAATTACAAGAAAGTCGCTGTAAAATTGAAAATAACAGTTGACTTTTTGTATTTAGACCACCAAACCCAAACCCTTACCAAGACCTCCTTCTCTTCCTCCTGCTCACCTCATTTCTGCTTTCTCTTTGTGTCCACTCTCAACATCCTGTTTATAGCAGATTCTGTTTCAGATTAGCGTTAGCCCCATGCCACCCGCAGACACCCAAATGCAGACCATGTGTGTGTGCGTGTGTGTGTGTGCGAGGTCATGGGCCGTGCTCCCCACTTTCTCTACTTTCCACTCATGTGCCTCAGACTGAAGCTCCGCTGCACTCCACAACATCGGGTTATAGGTTAATGGGGTGGTAATGTGGGACTAAGAGGGAAAAATCTCCTCTCGGTCCCCCGACCCCTTCGCCAACTCCCAAAAAAGCATTAAGATCTCAGTCTGCAAGCGCTGTCATCTTTCAGCACGCCGAACGTGGACTTCCTCTTGGTGTCATGTTGTTTTATGACCTGCTCTTCTGGGTCTCCTGCTCCATCCCGACCCTGAAGAGGAGAAGGAGAAACGGAGAGTATTTATTTCCACCTCAAGAGCTGATCTTTGACCTCTGCCAGTCCAAGAGAAGGCGCGCACACACATATATAGACACACACACACACACAAACAAAATTTGAAGGTGGGTATGAGGTGTCTGTTTTTTTATTAATAAAAATCTATTTTTGTTTTGTCAGGAAAAATGTCTATTGTGCTTAAAGATTCACGAAACCCTCAAGAACTTTTTTAGAGATTTTAACAGATTTGTGTGTGTTGAGCATACATGTCAAACCTCCCGTTTTTCCCAGGATTCTCCTGTATTTTGCAGTTTTTTCCCACTATCATCCCGTAAAGGTATTTGCCCGTATTTCTCCCGTTAATTTCAGTGTTTCTCTGAAGGGTGGCAAGAAACATTTGAGTCGAGCCTCCCTATATGCAACCCATACCCCCCAACCACTAGGGGCCGCCCCTTGCTCCTAAATGTGAGTCTCTTCTGTGCTTTTGCTTTGTTTAGGCACGAAAACACTTTGAAATAAATATGAAAACGGCACAATTCCCTTTCCTTTTCATTACAGGTGCCGTCACCCCTCCAATGCAATCCTCAAAACAGTCATATAATGGTGCATGACTGTCAGCTGACGCGTTTTATAGTGTTAAATAGACTCTTTTTCCCAAACAGACTCTGTATATGTGATTTGAAACGGAGCGAAAGTGGGTGCGTGTTTAAACAAAAATATATCATGAGGCGCCGTGTAGGATTTAAATCAAACTTCGCTTATCAACACACTCATAAAACATGTGCATATACACCTATAAATTACTCGCATATACACCTATACTATTGGATGTTCAAAACAACATATATGAAACTTGCGCAGATACATATAACTTTCACGTATACATACACCCACATACACACGCACATACATATAAACTCAATCCTTGCATTTATTTACAAACAAAATGCAACATTCCCATGACGTTGAGGTACAACCTCAATCTGACACGTTGAAGTCTTGTGTCTGCTGTGTGTTTAAGGCCATTTTGGTCATCATACAGTAAACATCTGTCATCTTCTCATCAGTGATATGCATCTAAACAGTCTCCGGGTCAATGTGTGTAACGATTTTGAACATCTTTTAGGACACTTTTAATGCTTCCAAACAATTTGTTGCAATTATAAAGCGCCCACGTCTTACGGTTGTTCATTATGATGCGATTTACCTCTTTACTTCT